ATTCTATTCTATTCTATTCTATTCTATTCTATCTTCCCTTACCTTCCTTTCCTTTCTTCTATTCCTCTATTTTTCTCCTCTATTCTATTTTCTATTCTATTCTATCCTCTTCCCTTCCCTCCCTTTCCTTTCCTATTCCCTATTCTATCCTATCCTATCCTATTTTCTATTCTATTCTATTCTATTCTATTCTATTCTATCTTCCCTTACCTTCCTTTCCTTTCTTCTATTCATAAGAAATGAAATAATGCATTATTTGGAGGGGGGAAACCAAAATAAAGCATTACAGCTTACCTTTTGTAACTGTAATCTACAGCTGGCAGGAAGATATTAAGAGGAAAAAAATCAGTTCCCTCAACGGTTATAGCCAAAGTTGGCATGGGAGACTTCACAGTTGCCTCCCCTGTGAAGCCAAACATTTGCAGCCACCTAATCAAAACTGAAATCTTTGCTCGGTGCAATGGGGGCTATGTTCAGTTTCCATCGAAGGTGAGAAAGTCACATAGAGAAGTTCCTCCCCCAAGCAAATCAAATGAAGATCATCACCATCTCTCAGACACAAACGGTGTGAGAAAAGCTTTCACAGGGGATAATGTGGGAAAGATGAAGTGGGGAGATGAAGGTCGGGGTATTTTCTGCCACCAGTTGGGCTTTCTTCTTGGCTAGGGTATGATGTTGAGAAACATCGTGGAGCCCTTTGAAAGAGGAAGAGTTGGTCGGAATTTTGGAAATGAATTCATTTTTCTTGGGCAGTTAGGCTGAGAGTACCAAATCAGTCAAGACAAGTTAAGAACAGCAGATCCAATCCCAAACAGCAAAAGCTCAAACAACATTCTTCAAAAACGAAAGGCAGTCACGACATAAGCCTAAGACTGAAAATCAGGCTTCTTAGATGCTAGATCTTTTCTGCCCTGCTCTACGGAGGAGAGAGTTGGTCTCTGACAGAAAGTCACTTGAAGGGACTGGAAGCATTTGAAATGTGGATTGACAGACAGCTGTTACGTAGAAGCTGGGTTGACATAATCACAAATGAGGAGGTTGATAAGCTGCCTGGGAAAGCCAAGGGAAATCATTGAAAGCATTAAAAAGCGAAAGAATATTTTGGACATGGGATGGGACACCCAGAAAAATACACCATCCTTCGCTTAATCCTCCAGGGAAAGATTGAAGGCAAATGAAGTCCAGGCAGAAGAACTTCATGGCTTCAAAAATCTAAGGGACCAGTTTGGACAAAACTCAACACTTTTTCGTGCGGCTGTTGATAAAAATAGGATTGCCAACATGATCGTCAACATCTGATGATGGATATGAAACAAGAAGAAGAAGAAGAAATCCTAAACAAAACTCCACCTGCATCTTCAGCATCTCTCCCTCTGAAGCCCTGAGACAGGACTTGTTAGAAACACCCATAAGAACAGGCAACACCACCATGGTATCTTCCAAAGACATACAATCAGAATTGAAATGGGACATTTCTCTGGTTCTCCAGGATTTTTCAAAGACATGATAGCTTAGCCAGACCATCATTCATTTCCTTAAGAACCTTAGGATGCAGTTCATCTGATACAGGAGATTAAACTTGTGTCATGGTCCCAAATAGCATCCAAAAGTAAATCAGACTCTGAGGCGAAGTATTGCTCAAAGTTCCAATTTATTAAGAGAGCCATGTTGGCACATCTGGGAAAACCCGAATCTTCCCAGGTTTCTCCACCTAGTTGAAAGTTCAAGATCCTGCCCCCAACACCGACAAGCCCATCTCATGGTCCAATCTTCCACTACCATGCTGGCAGTTCCACCCATCCAGTTCTGGCCAGGTAAAGAGGTGCAAAGACAAAGGATGACCTTGGCTTTCTAGAAAGACTTTTGTTATGGCTACATAGCATCTAACTCTGTATAATCCCCCCTCCCATTCTCCCACAATAGAAAATGCATAGCAGAATAATAGAAAGTGTGGCAGGCCTGAGATCCAAAAGAAAAGAAGGCTGCAGGCCTCATAACTTATTTTCTTCAAGGACTCGACTGCCCTTAAGTTTTCCAATGAAAACCTGTTCTTCATTTTAAAAGATGACATGGATAAAGATTCAGAAGATGGTTATGTTAGTCCT